AGTTAGGGTGAGAGGGATGGGGGGTGAAGGACAGGGATGAGAGGGGGGGTGAAGGACACGGATGAGGGGGGACGTAAGGGAGAGAGAGAAAGGAGAAAGAGAAAGGAAAAGATTAGAAAGAGAAATAATATATAGAGAGAAAGAAACAGAGAATGAGGAGAAAGAAAGAGAAAGGAGAGAAGAGAAAGAGAGAGAGAAAGAGAAAGTAAGAAAGAGAGAGAAAGTAAGAGAAAGAAAGTGAGAAAGAAAAAAAAGAAAGAGAAAAAGAAAAGAAAGAGAAAGAAAAGGGAGAGAATGAAAGAGAAAGAAAGAGAATGAGAGTAAGAGAGAGAAAGATAGATAAGACACGGAGTTTTTTTTCCAGCTTCGATCGGGTGAATATAATGAAACACAAGGAGACACTCACCTGCACAAGAACACACACATGAATGTACACATACGGATATGAAAAAAAAATTTGCACACGAAAAAAATACACACATGTGAACGGATACACATACATTAACGAACTAACAAACCAACAACTACATAACACATTAACACACACACACACACACACACACACACACACGCACACACACACACGCACAATCATGGTTGAGGGCTGGCAGATATAAATTTTTATTACACTTCCCCCGACCTATTGCACTTAGTGAATGATTTGTTGGCTGAAAAGTATGAAATATAGAGCGGTTTCAAAAGCCAAAAGATATGAAACAGGAAATTTTAAGCATTCTGGACAAACGCACACACACACACACACACACACACACACGCACACGATAGATTCCTGTTGCATTCTTTCGTCCACTTCCCCCTCCTCCACTGCCCCTTGCCCTCCCCCACGCCCTGCCCCTCCACCTCCTCTCACCTTGCCTCTCCTCGCAACTCCTTCCACCTTGCTCCTTTCACCTCCCTTCACCTAATATTTTCTATCTTACTCCTTCCACTTTACCCCGTTCATTTACCTTTTTCTTCCTTCTGTCTCCTTCCATTTTTTTTCCCTCCGTCTTCTGCTGCCCTCCATCTTGCTCCTCCAACCTCCTTACACCTCACCCTCTCCTTCTCGTTTAATCTCCACCTTCTTCCACTTATTCTCCCATCCCTCACCCTTCACTTCCTTCCTCCTTGTCCCTTCCACTTCCTTCCACCCCTTTCCACCATGCTTCTTCCACCTCCTTCCACATTGCCCCTTCTACTTCCTTCCACCTTCTCGGAGTGGACGGCAACAGGCTCCCTCTCGCATTAAATACACGAGCACATGTCGATCGCAAATTGACCCTCTTCCGAACACGTCCCTCTGGCTCCATGTTATGCCGAAGACAAGGCCAGGCCGCGTCCCGAACTGTGATTTGTAGCTCATTCGGTTCTTGTTCGTGAATTCCTGATCGAGTTTCTGGGATCCATTGTCGTGCCGAGGAATCCGTTTGAGAGGATTTGATAAGAGAAAGGGATTTAATGCCCATGTGGCTCTGATGTATTTCCCCTCTTCTATCGTAGCCTCCCGTATATTCGTGAAAAAAAATATAATATATGATACAAAGTAAATCAGTTAATGGGAGAAAGTCGAATGAATAAACATTCGTAAACCAAGCAAATGGAAGAGGCTCAGTAAACTTAGCAGACGGAGCGAACTGAGCCAAATGAGTAAATAAAGCGAACAGAGCGTGCTGAGCAAAATGAGTAAATAAAACAAACGAAGCGAACTGAGCGTGAGTAAAGAGAACAAGTGGAGCAAATTGAGCAAAACAAGTTAACAGTGCGAATGGGCGGAACTTGGAGTAATCCAAGCGGACGGAGAAAACTGGACAAAATGAGCAAACAGAGCAAGCGGACCGAACTGAGCAAAATGAGTAAACGGAGTCCAGTCTTCGCTCCGCTCCGAGAGAAAACGCGCGGAGGAAACTTGTGGCGCGCGGAAGTCGGCCCATCAATCCCAGTCAAAAGCTTTTCTGGCTCTTGGACGCCAATGTCGTAAATACTGCTTGGTTGCCTTTTCCTCCCAATTTCCGAAAATGAAAAGTCGACCAATTACTGCGGGAGGGAATCACGGGAGGAATTATTCGAGAGAGAAAAGGAAAAAAAAAAGAGAGAACAAAATGAGAGAAGGAAGAATTACTTCGAAAACGTATCTTTCGGAGACAAAAAATTAAGTCGAAAGAATGATACAAAAAGAAAGAAATAAACAAATTAAATACCCTCGTTACCCCAACAAATGAAAATAATCCATTAAACCTACTATAGGAAATGCAAAGAAAAAAAGAGAGAGAAAGAAAGAAAGAAAGAGAGAAAAGAAAAACACGCCAAAATACACACTGATACATACGCACATACAACTACCAGATCCCCCCCCCCAAAAAAAAAAAAAATCAAATAAATTAGATAAAGAAAAAAGAAAAACACGTCCCTCATCCGACAACAGACCGACCGAAATCCGAACCGTCGGGGCGAGGCAGCAACCTCCCTCCCGCCCGCCGAACGTTCCTCCCGCCGATTCGAA